CCCAGCTCTTCCATTTATACAGGTTAATAAATTACATTATTTGTTGATTCCCTCTTGCCTTCAGCATGTCTTGTGAGTGTCAAATTCTCCATGTTGAAATTTCAACTTTCTCCTGATTTAAATTACATGTTTCCTTTCTCTTTCTATTTTCCATAAAACTTGCACATTGTTCATGTGTTCTGTTCATGGTATTCTCAGCATCTTTATGTAGGACCACATTATTGCCTCAAATCTCTTTTCTGTGAGGAAATTGTTCAGCACTCATTACCATATAGAGGGATAGATACTATATAGCAGGGCAGCACTTCTTTTTTTTCTTGTTTCTTAATACTTTGTTTAGCCTCTGGAGGGCATCTTCTGCTATTTTAATGTGTCTTTGGATTTGTGTTACATTTTATATTTTCTGTTATAACACTTCTCAGATAGTAAAATTTATATCTAATTCATAGTTCACATCTGGGGCTGTCCTTATTATCTGACAAGCATGGATTGTCATCTTGCAATTGATTAATAGTTCTTTCTTTCCTTTAATATTTTGTCTAGGAGTTCCTGCATCAACACAGTGTCATCTGTAAATCTTATGTTAAGATAAGTGCCCACCAATAAGAAATCTGAGTAAAATTTCTAGTTCTCTTAGGATCACCTCACTGTAAATGTTGAGTAAATCCATTAGTCCCTTTTTTATTTTTTTAATACTTTCTCAATTTCTTTTTTTTATCCATATGCAGGCCATTGTTCTCAATAAATGTTCTAGATTATTTATAGATAGAAATTGTTTTACTATTGGTATTTAAAGTTTTAATATTGGCTACTTACTTTTAGAATAAAATTAACTAAGATGAGTTACTGTAACTATTCACATTGTTTGAACTGTTGTCCTCATCATTATTGTCACATTCACAACATTTTGGTTGTTGTACACTCTGTGCTTCTTTAAGTCATTGGAATTTTGATACTGAACCCTTTATTTCGTCCACCATTATTCTAGTTCTACTGCTTTTTTTTGATATCTCAGTTTCAGCTATTTCTCTTTAGTAACTCTACTCTACAAGTTTTTGTTCACCTCTGCTGTGATCAGGTATTGAACTCACAACTCTTTGGGTCAAGTCACTGGATTACTTCAACCAACATTTTTATCCACTGGGCCATGTGTCCTTGGATAACATTCAAGAAAAAGATATCCAGAAAAAGGCAGATGGATGAATTAAAGGATTTGGTTTGAAATTCCAATGTATATCAGCTGAAGAAGGCCGAAGTATACAATGGCTGAAATATTGGGAATATAACAACAAAGATGAGGACAACAGTCCAAACAATGTAAATAGTGTCAAAAACATTTGTTTTTAATCAATAATTAATTTTGTTAATCATCCTCAAAGGAAATAGGAAGTTATTCCCTCTGCTTTTCCATGTGGATATAAAACTAAATAAACAATACAGAAAAGATAAAGTAAAGGGAAATATAAAATAAAATGTCAGATTAAATGACAATTGAAAAGATGAAGATATTGAGCAGAAGTGAAAATCTACATCTTTGGATTCTTATTCTTTTTTGTCAATAATTAAAGCAAACCAACAACTAGGAGTGGGCTTGGTGATTAGAGAGTAGCCTTGATTTGGGAAAAAGGCAGTTGAAATGAAGCAACTTGTCACAAAAGTTTAATGTAAAGACACAATACATGCCAGCACATGTCAGAGATGGTTGTGAATATGAGTGTGGAAAATATGATTTTGACTCAAGGTCAAATAATTTGAAACTGATGAAGTAAAAGAACTTTCCATAGAAGTTGCAACACAAACAAAACATTAGACAAATATTCCAAACATCTCTACATTGTATACAAGTCTTACCAAAATTTCAACAGCTAGGAAAAGGTGTTCCATATAAAAATTACAGGTTAACATTTGAACACTTTTCTTGGTTGACAGGAAAAAAAATTGACAAGAGTCATCACTGGAGATAAAAAAAAAAGGATTTATTGTGAGAATCAAAAAGAAAATTATTATAGGTGGAGACTTTGGAATCAGAATAAATTTTGGGAAATGTTTTTCCTGTACCTGTGTTCAAAAGTTAATTTTTTTATTTTTTGAATCATTTCACCCCAAGCAAGGCGATAAGGCCACTAGTATGTCTTTACAAGAAGTAAAAGAGAATGAGAAGATTTAGTGAGAAGTGAAGAAAAGTACAATAAAGGAAGGGTTCAAGAAGACAGAAGATGGTGCTTGACATTGCATTTAATTTTTTGAAGACTGTTGGGGGCAGAGAAGCAAAACATCAGTAAGAAATTCAAGAAAAACTGTTTAAATAGAAATAACAGTTTCATTTAGGTAGCTCAATAGTAAAACAGTAAAACCTAGTTACCTCATCCTGGGTATGACAATAAACTACAACTGCATCCTGGGTAAGACAATAAACTACATCCAACAGGATCAGGACGTTTTGAGGAGCATCTTAATTGCTAGTGTTCCCAGGTCCACCTTGACCTGTGGTGGCAACACCTGTTAGGGTCCCAGCTATGGGCAAATAGTTAACCCCCAAACTGGGGTCAAAACACTATGGAAGTGTAAAAATAGAAATAATTTTGTAAAAAATTATTACCAGCAATACATTTTGAAAAAAATATTACCAGCATACATTTTTGAAAGAAAAAATATTACCAGCAATAAATTTTTAGAAAAAAAATTATTACCAGCAATAAAAATTTTGTCGGCATTAAATAACCCATTGAGGTTGGTATGCCGTAAAACAAACCAAACCAAACCTAGTTACCAATCTAGTAGCATGCTTAAATTCATGTAGTCAAAGCAACAAGGTAAAAAGCTCATCCGAATTTTTGGGAATTGAACAAAATGTTACTGAACAATGCTGCCATGAGTAATTTGCTTGACTGAATTGCAAAAAAAGATATCGTTTTTACTGATCATTGTTATTTACAACTGGTGGTGCCCTATAAACAAGCTGGTCAGCAGCTGATTCAGATTGCAAATTGCAGATATTTCATTTTATTGAGCATGACTGTTTTGGTTTGATGCACATATAGATAATGTAAATCAGTGTTACTATCAAATTCAACTGATCATCATGACTCAATACAAATAGCATGCCCAGTCATGTTTACTTAATCATCAACTCTTTATTAAATACATTTACCAAATATAAGATAAATGATACAGTGAATATTATAGTGGATGTATAATATTGTTTATCTCTATGCTAAATAAAGGTAAGAGATAAGGTTTTATATTAATTTATATGTCAAGTAATTTTTTTATCCTATAATTTAGGGTTTTATTTATTTCCCAGTATTTAAAGGGAATTATTTTTTGTGATTAGCTAAGTTCTATGCTAACAGTTTCTTCTATTTCATTTTATCGCTTGTGCAACTCTTTTCCAGGTTATTGCTTCCCAGTCAACTTTGATCTTCCAAAATTTTAATGCAATGTCAATCATTAGGGAGCCTCATTTGGAGTTTCACCCTCACTTGAAACACAAAAATACAGATGTAAAATCACAACATACTATCATATATATATATATATATATATATATATATATATATATATATATATATATATATATATATATATAATAAAAAGGCTTAAACACTAATATTAGTGTTTAAGCCTTTTTATTATATCCTTACTCTGTTCTGGACATTGAGTTCTACCTGGATTCTATCCTCTTGGAATTTTTATTCAAAAATATACATGTATGGGTATTTATATATTTTGCATATGTATGTATATTTACCACTAATATTATCTATCTATCTATCTATCTATCTATCTATCTATCTATCTATATATATATATATATATATATATATATATATATATATATATGCATGTGTGAGTGTGTGGTTTATTCAATATTGATTTCCAATAAATATTTTTCAGATTCTTTCATCCATTATATTTTAAATCAATTTTTCTTCCTAAAGATCCTTACTTTTGAATTATTCTTATCATTCCCAAGAAACTTTCTCTCTGTAACTTTTCTACTGGGCACTCAATTTCAATTTATTTTTTATCCATGTCTCCATTCTGTCAGTCGCAATACCAAGTGTACTAATGACAACTGGCATGATTGTGCACTTCAACTTCCAAAGCTTTGCAAACTCAAAGTTTAATTACTTTCTCTTCTTTTGTTCTATCTTTTATCAAATTGACAGGATGGATCAACAATTAACCCTTTTTCTATTTTATCTTCCACCAATATGGCTGATTTGTTCTTCTCTAGTTTCTTATCTGTATTGAAAAATCCCACAAAATTTTTCATATTTGTGACTCAAAGACTCATATATATGGTTTTCCTTCTCTCACAGAAAAAACTGCATGTCTCACACAACTTCCAATCAATAATCTTAACAGCTTAATCTCTCCACACTTTATACTCATTCTTCACTAAACTTGGGCACTTACAATGTCTGCTATAGTTTCATCAATTTTTCTATATACTCTACAAATGGGTGATATCTTTTTGGCCATGCATCCTGATATTATTATTATTACTACTACTATCCTTATAATTGTTTATATGCTTACATTCTTTATTAAAGCATAAATATCTCCTATTAGTGTTTTGTTTCTGATATGTGACTTAATTTTGGTCTTTTGGTTATCAAAGCTAATCTAAAAGCTTTCCTACTTTCTCATCATTGAGATGATAAATGAGGAAAATTTAACATATGCATGATATACAGAATAGGTGTTGACTCATGCCAAGAAAATAATGAATGATATGTCCCACAAAAAAAAAAAAAAGATAATATATTTAGAAAGTAGGTTTTTGTAGATGGTTGGATTAAAAACAATAAAAGTGACAATAATATTTGATATGATCAATAATCCTAATAAAATGATATGGAAACAAGTACCATATTGGTAGTTGTAGAAAAATCCTAAATTTAAAAGAATTAGAAGATTGAGAATAAAACAAGAGAAGGACAAATGGTAAGAGAAAGTAAGTGAGTAAAAAAAAGAATAGAAAATAAAAAAGATCAATGAAAATTAAGAAAGGTAGAAGCCATCAGGTGAAAGAGGATAGGAGTGATAGCTGCAAGAAAATGGTACGAAAGAGATGGTAGAATGAGAGGAAGAAAGATAAAGTAAATAAAATATATAAAAAGGAATGTGAAAGAAGAGGAGAAGAAAAAATAAATGTGAAGGAAGAGAAGAAAAAATAAATGTGAAGGAAGAGGATAAAAAATATAAAGGAAGGGAAGAAGAAAATGAAATGTGAAGGAAGAGAAGAGAACAATGTGAAAGAAGAGAAAAAAGAAATGTGAAGGAAGAGAAGAAAAATGTGAAGAAAAAAATGAAAAATGTAAAGGAAGAGAAGAAAAAAGAAATGTGAAGGAAAAGAAGAAAAATGTGAAAGAAGAGAAAAAAGAAATGTGAAGAAAGAGAAGAAAAATGTAAAGGAAGAGAAGAAAAAAGAAATGTAAAGGAAGAGAAGAAAAAATGTGAAGGAAGAGAAGAAAAATGTAAAGGAAGAGAAGAAAAAATGTAAAGGAAGAGAAGGAAAAAATGTGAAGGAAGAGAAGAAACAAATGTAAAGGAAGAGAAAAATGTGAAGGAAGAGATGAAAAAAGAAAGGTGAAAGAAAATAAGGAAAAACAAGACAATGTTCTAAGATGAATGAGTTTTAAAAGGATTTTTTTAAAAAAAGTTTCTTGATAGGAAAATACAGAAGGAGAAGAGAAAAACTGAGATTGAATATTGACTGTAGTCACGGGGGGGGGAATGAAAACTAAAAAGGAAGAAATAAATATCTGAAGCAGGAGAAGAAAGAAGGTTAAAATGGGCAAAAATATAGAACAAGAGAAATTCAAATAAGGCAGATTTAAGAATAGAAAGGAAAGACTATAAAAGTAATTAGAGGAAGAAAAAGTGAATGAAAGTGTTCAAAGAAAAAGAAGAAGAGATAAAAGGAAAGAGACCTAAATGAAAAGTTAAAGAATCGGGATAAGAAAATGGATGGCAAAAGATGTAAGACAAAACAGAGAGAGAAGCATTATGGGTATTTTTCAGTGTGCCCATGTTGCTACAGAATGTGACACAAGGTCAAGGTTTAGAGTAGGTTTAACAGCAATAACATGGAAAAATTTCCCAAGCCACCTTTTGGGGATGCCTCAGGCACCGGACAATAAAGCCAGATGCCTCCTGAAGAAGGGGTTTTGCCTAGATGAATAGCCCCCTGGGGCCTGGACTTAATATTTTTTTAACTTTCCTAGTGTATGACAAGATTAACTGATGGACAGAAGAGACAAGAAAACAGAATATATAAGAAAATAGACAGAAAATGTGAAGCAAGAAGTAAGAAAAATTAAAAGCAAAGCAGCAATTATTTAACTCATCATTTTGATTGGAGGCCATGGCTTGGTGAGGAATAAAATCCATTCTCTTTGTTGATGAATCTTATTTATTGGCAATCTTGTTTCTTTCTATGACTTTTTTGTGCTCTTTAACCAGTTTTCCTATATTTATCCTATTTTTGAGCTCCAATTCAATTATCTCAGATCTTCATTGCTAGGATATGTCATGCCACTTCCGCAGAGTCAAATCATCTTAATTGCCTCCAAGAGAAAGTTTTAGTCAGACTGCTTTCTCATCTCTAGAACTGCTATTTTGTAGAATTGCTGCCATATCTGAGCTGGAGTTGCTCAATTTTCACTTTCCAAATTCTACAGAGTGCAAAATCTTTTATATAGTCTTATTGGGGAATCTTCCACTGTAGTTTTTTCCCCATAAACCCAGTGCCGCAGTCCTGTTGCTTTTCTATCACTATTTCTCTGGTAAATGTTCAGATAAGTGCCATTCTTTAGTTCCACAAGTTTAGATCACTACAGCTAGGACACACCCTGCCACATACACAGGGTTGAATCATCTTCATTTCCTTCTTATTCTAAATGTGAGAAGAAAGTTCCATTCAGCTTTTTCCTTAAGAACTGCTACTTTGTGGCACAAACTCCCATGTGGATGTTTCCCTGATCACTACAATCTTAACCCCTTCAAATCAAGGATCAATCATTATCTTTATAATTTTCACTTACTACTGCCTCTTTCATTCAGTATCACACACATTCATCATAATGAAATTTTGCAATAACCCTCTACCTCGAGTGGCTCATGAGCCTTGTATTGGGTAAACTTTGATAAAAAAAACATTTTAGCTTAAGTTTCCTCTATTTTTGACTACAAAATATAGCAGAATGTTGGCAATGCAAAATGTAGCAGAATGTTGGCAATTTGAAAAGATTTGTTAAGATACAAACTGATCTAAATCAGTAGTTGTTAGTATCTAACTTATTCTCTTTGCATAATTCATCTATCTGTCTAATTAAAAGTATATCACACACTTTAAGTGATAATCGAATAAAGAAATGATTTTAATAAGATACAGAGAAAATGGTAGTTATGGTAAAAAGATTTATGCAGCTTTTATGCTTGCTTGTAGAAATTAATTTATTCCTTAGTTTTAATAGCAATTTGAAATCTGATCAAAATATTAAGTATTTTATTTAAATTGAATTTATCTAAGTTTTGTGTCATATGCCATTGCTCAATTTTATAAGTGGAATTTTATTACTAGAATTAAGCAGACAAATGACCATTTGAGAAATTAAAGTATGTTTATATATTAATATACATATTTCTTGAATGGCATTTTCAATTTCATGTCTTTCTCATTATGACAAGATTTATGTTCAACTGTCTTATATTCTAAAAAGACCATATCTAGAGACTAGTTTCTTCAGCAAGGCAGTTGCCATTATTAAGTAGTAATAGTCTGCCAAGAGCTGTTAAAGTAGAATATAAAGAAAAATTAGGTAATACATACAGGCAATGACAAGACAAAAATATGGAGGGGGGATAAAAATAAGATGAAAAGAGTAAGAATGATAATTCACAAGAAAAAAAAAGACATTATGGCACAAGAATGTGAATGACTTTAAAACAACAATTTGAAAATGAAAGATTTAAGAAAAAGAAAAAAAGGAAAAAGCGCATAAATAATTGCTTTAAGAAATTTTAAAAGAAGTTGAAGCAGAGAATGAATTCAAAGAAATAGCTTGAAAGGTCTGCCATCAATTTAAACTACTGAGTACAGATATATAAAAATATATTGCCACAAAAGTGTGTTTCTGCAACCAGATGTTACATTGCTAATGATCAAATTACCCAAATATCTTCTAAACTCCCACATCTGAGACAAGCACTTATCAACTTTGTAGATGTGAGCATGTGGGATTCTACTCCACAAGTTTGTTTTTTTGTTTTTTAACTTTTGTCTTAGAATCATTTCCTTTTGTTTTGTTTTGTTTTGTTTTCTTTTTAATTTCCCCTGCTTTATCCACAACTCATTTCTTGAAATGTAATGGATGATGTTCATTTTTTTTTCTTTTAAAAGTTACCTTTCTTGAATCTCTTGGTCCACTGCCTGACAAACATGATTTTTTTCCCTACAGAAAATGTGCATTTTAAGAGATGCAGTAATAGCTTAATTAGATCATTTGACTTCAGGTGACATAAGAATGTGCAAGTAGAATTAAATTAAAAGCTTTACTGAAGCATTACAAATAGAAAATGATGATCATTGCTACTACTACTATTACTACAACTATTATTACTACCACCATCATCCCAAAATGCAAAGCCACTTTTCAGAAGCCATAAAGGCTTCACTGGAAAGGAATAAGATTCTACTTTTGAACACAAAATCAGACAAATAGTTCATTTTCCTTAGCATGTATTTTCTAAACAAAAGTATGCACTACAGCAGATGACTAGAATGAGAACCCATTTCAGAATAAGGAGTGTAGTATAGCTTGGTACAATTTCTTTTTCTTAAATATTCTTATAAACCTACCATAAGACTGATTCACTTTAGTGAGGTTTTCATCTATTCAGAGCCCAGATGGCCCTATTATTTTCAGCTATGGCATTTATAACTTACAGCCATATTTATTGACTTTCATAACATTTGAATGATTTCATTTAATAATTATTTCTAATGATTTCTAATGATTTCATTTTATAACATTTGAATGATTTCAGTTCATGTATTTAAGTATTTTACATTTTCATTTAAAATATAGAGTGTAAGCAACATTTTTCAGTTTGTTAGTTGGTTACCCACTATTATTTTTATTGTTAAACTTAAGCAAATCATTGTATTTCTTTTTATTAGATAGCATACATTATGTCAGATTTTGTAATACAAGTCAATATTTTCATAGCAAAATTGGAATTAACAGATGTTGATGAAATTTTCAGGTTATATAGGAGCAATATATTGTTTGTTTTTCAGTTTATAATATCTATGTCTATTAAAACCCTCATCTTCACTGTTAGAAGACAAAAATATATTAATTTTGATAAATTGTTTTGACTACATGCTGATAGGAAAGCTGTCACAACAGTCAGAAGTAATGTTTTTGAATTAAGTTAAGCAAATTCACTTTTTGGTCAGTGCAATATTTGAAAGTTAACTGATTCCCTTGATACATAGAAGGATGTTTGGTGTTCTTCCTAAATTAGTATAAATCATTTTGTGTAAAACAATAGAAAGAAACAGGTTTTACTATCATTATAGGAGCAAAAGTTGTTTTTTTTATTGAAATATCTTCAGATTAAAAATAAAATTAATTTTTTATTAATAGAAAAAGCTAAAATTCTAGAAGAGGAATTGAATAATCAGAGAAAAAATCAAAACTAGGAATTTCTTTTAATTTCTATGAGAGATCTACTCCTGCTAAGCTGAAAAATATTTTATGAACACCTTCTCCTTTATAGAGGATGTAGCAGAAATACCTTCCATATAATGGTAAGACATTAGCTAGATGAAAACACTATTGTCACTATTGTCTTACCATTATGTGGGAGGTATTTCTGGGAAGTATATGTGGGAGGTGTTTCTGCCACACCCTGTATTAGAAAAGTACACACCCATTGCCAACCAAATATTCCATTTAACAGAATTTGTTATTCTGAAAATATTTTACAAGCTAATATTAAAAATCACTAAACCTCTCCTTATGAAGAGTCTTCTATCAAAACTAAAAATCCCAAAATATTTTTCAGAATTCAATCCAACATCGAAAATCCATATTCTGATTTCTAATTCAAGAATTTTATTTATGAAACTAAGAAAAATGCATGCAACCATTTTGAATGCTTACATCATGCTCACGGAAGACCATCCCTTTTGGTAAAACATAGCAAATGGGATGGAGTATGTAATTATTAATTCTTTCCACTTTTGGCAATGTATGCAGCAAAAATACTTGCATGGAGAAGAAGCATACATCATCTCTGCACAAGAAATATTCCTCACACTGAATTCTAGAAAAAATTATTTACCTCACGAAATCTTGATTATTCATGTCCAGCATCAGCTTTAAAAAAGATTTTTTTGATTAATGTTTGTTTTTAAGAAAATATAAATCTATTGACGGTTATTGATGAATTAAAAAACATATAAAAGATATGCATTAAAAAGGAAAGCAGAAATAAAACAAGAAAAAGGATCATTGTTAAGGAAAACTATGAAAATATAAGCATCAGTTGTTTTCTGCCTGATCAAAGGTTCAATCAACCAAACAAGGAATTGAAGTAGTTTTACTCTTCACTAGACAAAACTGAAGCTTACAACAGGTCCAAAAGGCAAACATGACAGTGTGCCCTGACTAATGTCATAAATTGTACAGATGACATGTGCATCAAATATAAAATAGAATGCATAAAATGAAAGCAGGTGAAACATCTAAATAAAGGAAAAATTCCACTTTAAATTTTCCTCTAGGTTTACAAACACCTTCAAGCTTTTTTGACAATCAACTTTCCTGGAAAACTGTTTTTTTTTCAACCATTTATAGATTTTTATTAATTAAAATATTAAGTCATAGTTAAAAGTAGAATTACTAAATAAAAATATATACAATAATATTAACATTATTACACATTTTAATAAAAACAACTTTTGCTTTTTTTATTATATGAACCTGTTTAAGGAAAAGAATTTGTTTAATATTTAAGAGCTCTGATATTTGTTTTTAGACTGGTGATTTTAAAATTCAGTTCATCATGTGTTTTTGTTGTGTTAAAAAACTAAAACTAAAACCAGCCTCAACCATAAAAGTAATTAAGTAAAAATGTATTCACCTCTGCTCAAAGTTTGAGATCCTTATTGATAATATTTACTTTCCTCCAGAAACTATAGCAGGTCATATGCTTGAACAGAGATTAAACATTAAGAAACACAGTTGAACAAATTGATCTAGCAGGTTGGATTAATTTTCTAGTTAGCAATTATATTGTGCAACAATTCAGTTGGGTGTATGCAGTTTTTTAATGCACAATTCAATTTCTAAAGGTTCTTTTTACAGATATCAAAATGTTCAAGAATAATTTGGTTTTTACTTTCTAGTTGTTGTAAGCTAAAAATGTACTGAAAATCTTTGTAGCAATGATGATTTAAAAAGGTTAATTTTGAGTTTGAAGCTTAGCAGAATTGTTCAGGCTTAAATTATTATTACATTTTTACTCTGCAAGTGGGTTTAGGCATCATTAAATTGGGAATATGAGTCTGCCAAGTAGAAAAGAGGTTTCTTATTTTTTCATATCATCAGAGAAATGAATCCATACTTATATGAAAATCAGGAGTTGAGTCTAACAACTCAGTATGCCTTTTGTAAGATAAACCCTTCTTGATAGCCACTTTATTTAGTATGTAATATAATAGTAATATAACATTTTTTTAATCATTTCATGCCAATCAAGGTGATAATGCCACTAAGGTGCAAGGGGTTACTGTAACTGAAAAAGAATGAGATGGCTTTAGTGAGGAGAAGTAAAGAAAATAACAAATAAAAGAACACAATTAAGGAAGACAGAAGATGGCAATTGATGTTACATTAAAATTTTAGAACAACCGCCATGAAAATATTTATAGAAAAGACAGAGGGAAGCCATTTCATGGCAGTGGGAAAGTAACTGAAGTCAAGAAGCTAGGTCAGGACCAATAACATAACAGACTCTTTAGATTTTATCAAGCATCATTGTCTGGTACAATATAGTAAACAAACCTTCTTAGCAGCAGACCTAGTAATTCATTCAATATAATCATTTAACTTCATGTTAGTGGAAAATGTGAGACCAAGAAAGAACAATGAGTTACTCTCTTGACGGTTAGCATCAGCCATGGTGGTGAAGGTTCAATGTGGTTCTTGATGATGCTTAAAGGAGATTCTGGGGGCATTCAAATTTACAAGCCATTTTTTGCACCAGTTAATTTCAGTTTTTTAACATAATTTGCAACTGTTTGGGAAACTAAGTGAATATAGTTTAATTTTATTTATCAGTCTGATAAAATTCATCACTCAGTTTTGATACAATGTGGTATCTGTGTAATACAAAGTAAATAGTGTCAGGAAGCATGTAAGAAAAAAAAAATTACACACACACACACACACACACACATGCACACACACATATATATATATATATATATATATATATATATATATATATATATAATATATATATATATATATATATATATATATAAAATGTTGCCTGATTGTATCAAACTGTAACATATGACAAAAGAATTTCAGTTATGTTTTTACAAGTTGACATCCCCCAAAACTGACTGAGGCTGTATAGGAATGGGTGTTTTATCAACTCAATATCTCTAGACTGGATGCCAACTAAGATTAAAGACCTTAGTCTGTCCTTATATTTAACCCATAGCTGGGGGAAGAAGAGATAGATTTCTGCCTTTCCAAAGTATATTTGTGCAAAAGTGAATGTAACAAACTCAGATAGAATTTGAACATCACTCACTGTTGTGGCCTTGTTAGGGCCAGAAATAAAGACACAAAAGAGGAATTGAGTTAAACAAATATTAACGGGAACAGTAATGCAAACATATACAAACGAGAGTTTTACAGCAAGAATGTTCGGTTCAACTGTCAGAGCTGACTACTGGAAACTTCCCTCTCCAAAAGGCAGTACCTGCTCATATTTATAGCTGACTGAGTACATGCATGCATGGGTAAATTACTATAACACTCATCAATTTCACCCTCCAAACCACTAACCATTACACTACCCACACATTCATATTTCTTCAGGAAGAAATCAAATCCTGCATAATGACTGACTACTGAAATTGCAGCACTGGCAGTTATATTCTCAACTAGAATAAGATGTTTGGTTTTTGAACTTAAGTAAAATACCTGACAGAAGTCATGAGAATATTTGATCTAGCAAAAGTTTGATTTGTCTAGTCGAAAAGAAAAGTTATAATCCCTAAACTCAGATGGAAAGCTTTTATATCTCATTAGTACATCTTTACACTATATCTGCACTTGAAGGCATGTGTTTTAAAACAGGCCATTGTTTTTTTTCTTTTTTTTTCATTAATTTCAATGACATCTTCAATTAAAAAGTATCATAACCTCCTTTCAATTTTTT